GGAGACTGTGTCGAAAGCCTTGCTGAAGTCGAGGCAGACAACATCCACGGCTCTCCCCTCATCTACCCAGCCAGTCATGCCATCGTAGAAAGCTATCAGATTGGTCAGGCATGATTTCCCCTTGGTGAATCCATGCTGACTACTCCTGATAACCTTCTCTTCCTCCACTTGCTTGATGATGACCTCCAGCATAAGCTGCTCCATCACCTTTCCCGGGATGGAGGTGAGGATGACTGGCGTGTAGTTCCCTGGGTCCTCCTTCTTGCTCTTTTTGAAGATTGGAGTGACGCTGGCTTTTCTTTAGTCCTCGGGCACCTCTCCTGTCCTCCAGGACCTCTCAAAGATGATGGAGAGTGGCTCAGCAATGACATCTGCCAGCTCCCTCAGCACCTGTGGGTGCATTCCATCGGGGCCCATGGATTTGAGGGCGTCTAGATTGCCTAAGTGATCCCTCATGCAGTCCTCTTCGACCAAGGGAAAGTCATCCTCTCTGTAGGCTTATTCTCTTACCTCCAGGTAATTAATTCTCATAAAAGAGATACTTCAAACGAGAAGTGTACCATTGCGTGTGTGATAGCCTGTTTGGGTCCAGGAGCTGGACATCTCATGAAATCACTGCATCACGCAGCTTGGGCTCTCCCCGTGGTACACGCTGGGAGAAAGACTGCTGCAGGGAATGAAGCTCCTGGGCATTCAATTACTTCCCAGCACAAGAATGACCCAGAGTTAGCCACTGAGGTGATAAATTAACCTACGGATGACCTCATTCATTCCAGGGGAGGAGAACAATGGTCTTGTAATTTCTCAAATGATGATGAAGTATCACTAAGCTTTGAATATGTTTTCCTGATAGTTATTAGTGCAGGTGCTCTTTTTAAATAAACCCACACAAGAAATAGTGACACTTCTTCTAGATGCTCTGCATGATTTGTTAATGCAATAGTGAGAGCAAGTTATCCTGAACAATGACAGAAACAAAGTAGTTTGATTTCCACCTTACAGCAAAAACACAGAAGAAATAACTTGTTAGGTCTGGGAGGAAGCCAAAAACATTATTAAATCTCCCTCAATACAACTTTATTAATGAAAGATTAATCTAATAGTAAACACTGAATGTGAGAAAGTTACACATAGTTAGAAGGGTGTATTGAACCATGTATCTCAGATTATCCAGAAGCTACTACTCTGAAAATATTTTCCAAGAACACTGATTAGTTTCTGCCAATAAGCAAAAGGATTGAGAGTCTGAGCACTTCATGTGCCTTCAAGTGTTTTACACAAAAAGCAGAATGGACAAGCACATCATCAATTCGTTACTGAGGAAAAAAAAAGAAAGTACAACAATAAGAAACTGACAGAGACACTGAAATAGCTTCTGAGAGCAGGACTCCAACGTGACTCTGGTTACCTCTTGTAATTGCCATTTTCATGCTGTGAGCATACACCAAATAGACAATGAAATTCTTTTTAAGTTGAAAAAAAATCATTTAAAGTTTCGATTTGTTGGTTTTCTTGTTTGTTTTTTTTTTATTAACAGAGACACTTCTGCTGAAGAATTACTTGTGCTGGAATTCGTATTTTAATTAATTTTGTGCATTGTTGCTCTGAAGCAAAGGAGTATTTTCTGCTACTGACTTCAACAGTTCTGCAGGTCAGTTACACTTCCTGTTACCACATGAGGATACGTAACTCCACATTCTGCAATCAACCTCAAGGGGATTAAACGTGTTTCTGAATATCAGATTGAAAGCTTTGCCTGCAGCAGCAACACAAAATTCCCTTCAAGATACTCTAAAAATCACTAAGAACTCCCTAAGTCTCTCTTAAAATTCATGTAACCTCTAAAACAAAGTAACACAATGAATTAAAAAAATAAGTATTATCTTGGAGTAAGGACAGGTATCATTGGCACTGACATCAGGGTCTTTCTCTTCCATTTGACCCACTGCTTCATATCACATCTGAAGATTTTCGATATATTGCAGAAATGAATTGTCTCTCTTCAATCAGGTGTACTCTTCCTAAAATACTAGTGGGAGCAAATCAACACACCTATGCTCAATACGTTCTCATGACTTTTGTATTAAATACACAACGGTATCCTTCTATGTCCATGGTACTACATAGAAAAAACCCAAGACATTTTCTCTTCTCGAAGCACAAGAATAGATTTGTTCATTATATTAGGAGAGGTGGGGTGACAGTCTGATTTTTCTGAATGACTGATTTGTTGGGTTGACTCGCTATTTCAAAACATAATGAATATAGGTGACTATTTACACAAAAAGAAAAGACAACTGGAATACCATTAATATTCAAAGACATACTACCAGTACTCACATTTTTCACATATTACTATTACAGCGGTTCCTGTAACACTGAAAATTTACTATGTCATTTATTTCATTTATCATAGCTTAATTCACTGCCACAATGAAGACTTCTATTTTCAAATCTTCCTCATACCAAAAGGCTTGGACTTTTAACTTTTTTCCCCCAAGTGAAAGATGGGGTTTAAAGAAGTTCTCTGATCACCAGGGGAATGCAGCACAGCATGCACAAGTTTTAAGCGTCCTACAGCTTTTTAAACTAACAATTTATTTATTCTTAAACTAATGTACCAAGCAGCAACTTTAAACAAGAACATCAAAACATGCTAGCTAATGCCAATTCTTTTCTACCTTCAGCTATGCTGGCTCAAGCCCCACTCTAGCTGCACATCTGCCCATCCCCAGCTGCCAGCTCTTTTGCTTGTGCAAGGCTTGATAACGTATTTCTGTCACAATTATTAGGAATAGTGAAGAAACACTATTGAGACTGTTCAGATTAAGCTAGTTTATTTGATGGACACAGCCTAGGGTATGGGAAGCCCATAAGTACAGGCAGGAAAGCAGGGTGGAGTAGCTTCCTCCACTGGCTTATCTGCAATCAGAAGAGGACTTATGAAGCCAGGATTATGTGAAATGCATAGAGTCACTGAATTCAGATGGGTGAGGAAGTGAAAGACAATTAAGATTTTCATTGACTGTTTTGTATATTTGTTTATTAA